TACAGTATATAAAATCGAAAAGAATAAAAATAGAGGTGGCTTCGGGGTGCTTGAGGTATTTTTTTTGTCTTTTTCTATCAGACATATATTTAGTAGATAATGAAAAGAAGATGTCGGGAGAGATCAAAACTCCTGATTATTGTTACGTTCTGGATGGTTAATTATATATATATATATATATATATATGAAGAGTTCAGATGCAAAAGCCTCTAAGTGCCATTTGAAATTTTCATCTAGAATGATCATTTTTATCAAGCTTGTATATTTAAGTTCAGTGATTTCACTTAAATGGCAATGAAGATTACCTATTAATTGTTATTTAAGTGAAATTACTGAACTTAAATATACAAGTTTGATAAAAATCATCATTAAAGAAGAAAATTTCAAATGGCATTTAGAGGCTTTTGCATCTGAACTCTTCATATATATATATATATATATATATATATATATATATAGTCCCATTGTGTTTAATTAAATGTGTACTGGATGGCAGATATGTTGAAGCATCAATACCATGTAGAAAATATGTGCCAGATGTTTAGTCTAGACAACGATTCATACTATGATTTTATGATGGATGTTATGTGCTTGTTGCAAAAGTGTTATGTCCATTAAAATATATATCTGAACCTGAAGTTAGTTGAAGGTAATTTTTTCCATCTTTTATCATTTATGTATTTATTTATTTATGACAAGTGGCCAGATTTAGTGGCTAAAGTCAGGATAGTAACACTTTATTTGAAGGGGTGTGCGTAAGACTGACATTAACATGACATAACACCTGTCATGAACATGAAGGAGTCTTTATGAATGTTTAAGACTTTTTTCATTAAGATCCATTTGGTAAATTATGACACTTTTAATGCAAAGTTGACATTGTTTAAAATGTCTTTGTTATGACAACTTGACATTAACAAAGACAAAAAAACAAAAATGTCTTGATTACGACAACTTGACATTAACCAAGAAATCATAACCTGTCAACCTGTCATAAATATGTCATAACAGGTCTAATTGTCAAAATTAAAGAAGTTATTTAGCTTTGTGTTAACATTACATTACCCTGTCATATGTTATGGTTGGTTTTAACTTTTGGTTGTCATGACACCATTATAACTGTGACATGAATATTTTACTTGTCCTCAAGTAAAGTGGAACACATTGTACTAGTTATAAAGATGTCATTAAGGGTTGTTACACTGTCAAATGATTTAACAACAGTGTCATTAATATTTCCCCTTACCCCAAGTAAAGTGGAACATGTTGGACTAGTTATGATTTCTTGGTTAATGTCAAGTTGTCATAACAAAGACATTTTAAACAATGTCAACTTTGCATTAAAAGTGTCAATTTACCGAATGACACTTAATGACAACAGTCATAAACATTCATAAAGCCTCCTTCATGTTCATGACAGGTGTTATGTCATGTTTATGACAGTGTCATGACATTCTTATGCACACTCCTTCAAATAAAGTGTTACCGTCAGGATTTACTAAATACACACAGTGAAAAATTAGGGCAGAAAAGTTTTGCGACTGACCTTATTGCGTGCATTTGTAGGTGTTTGAGACACGACATTTATGGGAGGATTGCACTAGTCAATTTACTGGTAGTGCCATTACTTTACCACCCTAAATTAAGCATGTCTTAAACCAGAGGCTAATTTGCGCTGCTATTGGTTGATTGCTTTGCTTATTATGGAAATGATCTGACTGCGTCTGTGTTCTTTGATTTGTGCGCTCTCAGTAGATTATGCGCAGAGCATTCCACTCCCATCTGTGATTTTTTTTTTTGGGAATTGGAATTTTGGAATTTAATTTGCCCTGTTTAGCAAAGAACACTAAAAAATAATCAGTACTTTGTTACACACTGCTGTCTTCCTAGACTCAATTCACTCTGAAGAATCTTGCAATTGGTTACAGTAAACAGCAGTGAAGATCTTTTAAAGTGCTGTGTGTTCAAGGACTCCATGCATTTATCCGTCTGTTCTCCAAACCGATTGTCCCATCGCCAAACCTGGAGCCTATCCCAGCGTCTCAGGCCACAGGGAAAGATCCTGGCCGGATGGCCAGTCCATACAAGGAAGACACACACTCACATATTCTGCTCAAGGACTCATTCTTAGATATTCCTGGGCCAAACACACTTCAGTTCAATGCACCTAGATTTCAATTAAAAGCGAAATGGAATAATTAATGCATTGTCAATTTACATGGAAAAAACAATGAATTTTTAATTAAAAAAAATAGTTGTATTACTGGAAACTAAAGTTAACAAAGATTAACAAACACAGTAACATTTTTTTTTTCTCATGGTTAATTCATGATGTTAGTTAATACATTAACTAATGTTAACAAATTAAACATTGTAAAGTATTACAGACAAAACTACGTACCAAATATATTTAGGCTTTGCTTTTATTCTTAAATAAACATTGATCAACACATTGATGATATAATTGTCATTAACAATTAAGAAAACTATATTGATGTTGTATATACTGTACATTTGGTGTACATTTTGAATAATTGTAAGGACATTTTGTAGTTTACTCATAGACGGAATGTAAGGAAAATAAAACATACCCTTTTAATCAGTATTTTTGACTTGAACTTTAGAGAATGTATTGGATTAAGTTTTTGTTTTAAGTGTAAACATCACTAAATGAAGAGTTCAGATGCAAAAGCCTCTAAATGCCATTTGAAATTTTCTTCTTTAATGATGATTTTTATCAAACTTGTATATTTAAGTTCAGTAATTTCACTGAAATAACAATTAATAGGTAATTATCATTGCCATTTAAGTGAAATCACTGAACTTAAATATAAGTTTGATAAAAATCATCATTAAAGAAGAAAATTTCAAATGGCATTTAGAGGCTTTTGCATCTGAACTCTTCAAATGTTGAGCTATTTAATTCAAGATCTTGAATGTTTGGATCTTTTAATTGGAAACCAAGACAAACAAAGCATTTGTAATATAATCATTATTTATTAATTATTTTGTTTTCAGTGCTCAGAAAAGCAAACAAAAGACACTTTCAGGCAAAGCACTCGCATTTAAAAGTACCCAAACCTTTCAAGACATTTGCATCAATACAATTAAATGATTTCATTGTGCATCCATTACCATCATGCATGTAAAACAGCCTAGGGCTCTGTTAATAAAGCCGCTTTACGCCGTTTTGTTTATTTGATGTTGGCCCCACAGCTCTCCGACTTGATTGAAAAATATTTGAAATGATTGCGTAAAGGTGTATTTGCTTTACCGTCTTACTTGTCTCTAAACTTCCTCAGAGAACAGTCCTCGAAAATAAGTCATTATGCTTGCAGGCGCTGCACTCCCACCACTGCCCTTTGTGTACGAAATTATGAAAGAGAGTTGCTCATGAAAACACTTTCATTAGCGTGTTTATCACCCTCGACAACAAAGCCCTAACCAACAACCCAAAATAAACGCACATTCGCATATATATTTCAGGCAAGGACTACCCTATTAACATAACAAAGACAGTGATGGTGGCATGGGATGCAGTAGGGACTGCTTGTAGGAGCACAGCCAATCTGTTTGCGTTCTTTGGGGAAATTAGCTGCTCTCAGACCTGTTTTTAGAGCGGACGGAAAGACAAGTTTGTGCTCTGAAAGAGAGTGCCGTCACTCAGGGTCAAATCCATTATCCGGTCTTGACTGCCTTTGGGTATGTTAAGCTCTAATCCTAGAAATGAGACAAAAATGATTGTGAAGCATTGTTTCAGAATAGTAGATTTTATGAATATGGCAAATGTGCGCTACCTATTTAATTTGTTTGTTTATTAAATATTTTTCTTGATTTGATTCTCTTGATTTGATGTGGCTGGGCGCATTTGATTGTATTCTTCTCTAAATCACTAGATATCACTAGAAATATATGAAGAGTTCAGATGCAAAAGCCTCTAAATGCCATTTGAAATTTTCTTCTTTAATGATGATTTTTATCAAACTTGTATGTTTAAGTTCAGTAATTTCACTTAAATAACAATTAATTGGTAATTATCATTGCCATTTAAGTGAAATCACTGAACTTATACAAGCTTGATCAAAATTATCATTCTAGAAGAAAATTTCAAATGGCACTTAGAGGCTTTTGCATCTGAACTCTTCATATACAGTAGTCAACATATGAAGTGGATCAAAACCTTTCATCCAAATTATATAGTTTTGAACAATACCCGTTCTTGTTTGACTATATATATACTGTAACACATTACAATAAGCTCTCATTTCTTAACATTAGTTGATGCATAGTTAACATGAACTAATGTAGTTAATGTTGGTCCTTTTTTGTTCATGTTAAGTGACAGTGAATGTTCACAATGCAAAATTTTGACATAACACTTTGTTTTACAGCGTCCTTGTTACACATGACAAGTACTTATTATAGTAATAACAGTAGATTATGGATATACATACAACTAACACTAAACCAAAACCTAAAGTGCATGTTGTTAAATTATAGTACTCAGTAGTTTAATAAATGTGTAATTACACTGTAACAAGGACACCACAAAATAAAGTGTAACCAATTGAAAAGGTGTTAGTACATGTTGAAGTTAACATTAAAAAAGATTTAATAGAAATATTCTTTATTGTTAGTTTATGTTATCCAATGTAATCGGCTAATGCACTGTAAAAAAATATATGCCTCTCCAACATAAAAATTTCTAGTGACCCGTTGCACCTAAAATTTTTAGTTGGCCCAATTTAAGTTGCGGAAACCAACTTATTTGTGTTGTGCTGACTACCCCTGCATGTCGACCTAACTTGAAATAGAATGTTGTCAATTAAATATTTTCTGTTGACTAAACAGCTTGTTGGGCCAATGAACAGACTCAAATTGAAATAAAATGTTGTATTAATTAAATATTTCATGTTGGCCAAAAAGTCTATTTTTCATTAATGTTGGTCAAAAAAGTATCTTTTTCATTATTTCAAATAAATTACACACTAGGCTCTGATAGAGTACATTTTATGCATTTATTAAAATACAAAAGACTTGCCTGTTAGTCTCAAGTAAAATATTACACAAGTATTCAAATAGTGCCGAAACAAGATCTGAGAGTTCAAGAAAGCATGGCATATAACTTAGTCAATAGCTGTACAACAAATATCTGCTTTACTCAGTAAAACATGACAGTGGCTTTGCCTGTAAACATATGACATTTTTAGTCTGTTAGTCTAAGACTAAGGGCAATTACTGTACATTACATGGAAAAAATAAAATACAAAGTACTGCCCACTACTTTCAGGTTACATATGTCACTATGTACATTAAAACAGTTCTATTGGCAAAATAAATCTCTACTTTAAAAAATTAAACATTCTAATATTTCTCAGGGATGAATGCTTTGTAGGGATGGGCAACGATTAATCGCATCCAAAAAAAAGTTTGTGTTGTCAGTCACTTCAGTCAGTCACTTCCAGGATCCCCATTTTCATGGCCTTTGTGTGTGGCCCCAGTGCCTCAGTATTCTGTGAAACACAATAAATGACACTAAGTGTCAGACTGAAAGCATAATGTCTTATGCAATCATTACTGCATCTCAAACAGTAATAGCATAAATATATTCAAATTACCTTAATAGTCTTTGAAATTGAAGCTGGCTCTCTCAAGTACAGGGGAAGACCACGAAGAACAGCAAACCTATAAATAGTTAGATCTGTGGTCTGCCAAAAACACAGGTCATCAATAAGACATTATTAACCCATTTAATCCCATTTTTCCAAAAAACACAAAAATATCCAAATCATGTGTCATTAGTGTGCGTGTGGGGCGCTGGTGTGTGTGCGTGTGTTGTAAAAATACAAACACAGTCTGGATGAATGCAGGGAAAAGAACATTTACCTACTTGCCAATGATGAAGTCTGTAGCCTGTGTCTTGCTGCAGATGAAAATGTACAATAGCGGCACTGCATTTAGCTTTAAGTCTGAAAAAATACCTGAAATACAAACAAATACAAATGCATAAATAACTCATAGTTCTATACACAGAACAGCCATACTTCAGTATTTATTAGGGTTTTCTTAAAAGTACTTGTGCAAAGTACTAGCTGCTAACACGATGGCACACGTGCTTTGAATGGAAACTAACTTAGACCTAACGTTAGCCTAAATGATCAGTCACTCTGTGATAGCAAAAGCACCAAGTTAGTCGTCAAGACTAGCTGTCTGTTGCAGTCAATTATCACACATATCAAGAATGCAACTGGAATTTAAAAATATTGACCATTTAAAATATTAAACAGGAACATACGGTTGCCACCTATGTCTGATAAAAAACCGGGACATATCACAACCCGCCCACCGGGAATTACATGCGTTTCTAACATGTCGAGTGCGAGGTCTCCCCCTCTCTGCCGTGCACGCGGCCGCGCACTACACAGTTTGAACATTCACGTAGCCTTTCGGAAACGAATGAGTGCTTAAATTTCCCGAGGCTGGTTATTAAAAAGAAGGACAAATGACAATCCTGGTAAAACCGGCACAGGTGGCAACCCATGCGATGCTTAACCGTGTGGTTCAACGTTAAAACCGCATGCCAGTTGGAAAGGAATGCTAAAGCTTTATGTTAAAATTATTTAATTACTGTAGTTAACGTTACTCATAATAGATATATTCTTAACCTAAATTTGCTAATTACCTCCCTACACAAAGAAAGGAACAAACTTTGATGCACTCACCAATTCAATGTCGAGACTTGTGGCGGGGGAAATTCAAAAGCCTGGTAGAACTCCTTTGCGCATGCTCAGACGATTGACGCTGTTCCCTCTTGCTCGGCCAAAAAACATAATATTTTTTGTGCAATGTTAAAAATTCTGTGAACACCATTATTTATTTTCTCCTGATGAACATTTTGTAGTACAGTCATGGAAATCATGTAATCATTGATCAAACATATTTTTCTTTTTTGACACAACCATTATGTTGATCCAACATGTATATCCTCATTTGTACAACTATTTGCATCAATAATTTTTTACAGTGTGTGAACAAATAAAACTTAGCCGTGTTACTGATATTTTCTGAATCTTTAATGCTTTCTGTATTGTTTTAAAGAAATGAATTGTAATGTCAAGACTCAGAGACATAGATGGAACTGAACCAGACAGGTATTAATTGATAGAGGAAATATGCCAGAATATGGCAAGCTGTTTTAGCTTTTATTCATTTCCAGGATATGAATTCTTGATATCAACAATTCATTTTTTTTTTGATATATCTGTAATTGTATTTTCACTAGTGAAACGTCACCATAGGCTGCCATTCAAAATAAATTGTTGATATCAAGAATACATTTTTATCATTTTTATATCAATAATTACATTGTCACAAGTTAAAATGTCTATTCTTGATATCAACAATTCAATTGGTACTAGTAAAAATGATCATTTTTGAAATTTGAAAATTTATTTTGTATATCAATATTATTTCAGATGTTTAAAATGACGTTCTTACTAACAAAATTACATTCATGATATCAGAAATTAAAATTGTCACTAGTAAAAATTTAATTTTTGATATCAAAATGAACATTGTTACTGGTGGCACTTCAGTTGTGGATTTCAAGAATAGACATTTCATCTAGTAACAATTGAATTCTTGATATCAAACATAAAGGTTTTTACTAGTAATAATTGTATTTCTGATATGTGAAATGAGAATTTCAACTAGTTAGAAATCAGTTCTTTTCAAGAATAGACATTTCAACTAGTAACAATTGAATTCTTGATATCAAACATAAAGGTTTTTACTAGTAATAATTGTATTTCTGATATGTGAAATGAGAATTTCAACTAGTTAGAAATCAGTTCTTGATATCAACAATTGGTTTTGAATGGCAGACATTGATTTCACTTGTGAAAATAAAAATTGTTGATATCAGAAATGTAATTGTTGATATCAAGAATTGAATTTCTGATATCAAGAATTCATATTCTGGAAATGAATAAAAGCTAAAACTTTTGCTGATGACGATAGGTGGATAACTGAGTCTTTTCTCTCTTGACAGTGCATAGGTGTAACGTGACAGATAGTAGAGCACACACCATTCCAGGAGCTTAGAAAAGGTAAGTGAAGTAGTTATGGTTCAAGGTAGAGGCTGGAGAACACAAGAAAGACGCTCAAAATTGCAGGAGAGGATTGAGGGGGATTGCCACTGGAGAACAGGTAGTACTTAGGTAGGTATGAGTCATCTTCCACATTTAAGACCAGGCAAAGAGGGAGTGAGAGGTCTGTGCTCTTACAGCGCTCTTGATGAGGGATGATTAGGTGCAGGTGATGAGCAGGAGGAATGCTGGGAATTGTAACAAATTTTATGAGGTGGCTAATTTGTATGAATTCATATGACCTCATACAAGTGAATCATATATCATATGAATTGCCGTGAGATCGGGTTAGAAGGACTGGTGTACTTGGAACAGTCAATGAATTGAACAAAAATAAATTATTTTATGTATTAAGTAAAATCTTTATTTTGAAGTAACACATAAAAGTATTAGCTTATTATTATTAGTGGTCCACAGTTAAATCACTAAAGTCGAAAAATATTTTTCTGCTTGGCTGATGTGTTGAAAGCGTGACTTTTATCTTGAATGCGCTGAGAATGCAGTATCTTTATTAGTTTAACATATTTTTTTTTTCAGTCTTTTTAAAAAATATTAAAGGGACAGTTCACCAAAATGAGAATTAGCCCTTGATTTAAATACCCTGAAGTTTTTTTTTTTTTTTATGACATTCTTCTTTCAGACAAATACAATCGGATTTTATTTTTATCATATTGTAAAGTGACCTTGAGTTTGCAGAAAGGACACATGACATATGAAATAAACATATTATTAACAGGATTATGGGTGTAGTGAAAAAAAACAACAACAAAAAAAAACTACCCTGTCATCCTCAATCTGGTCCTGTTTGTCCTGAAAAAAAAGCAAGAGATTTATTTTAACATGCTGTATGAATAAGTATTGCAACTAATGACTGTTGTTTAGAAATCCTTAATAAAACTTTAGCACTGAATTAAACATGAGAGTAAAAACCTTCACTTTTATTACCCTATAATATTTCATACAAAATAATTGCAGATACCTGAAGATGTAGTACCTCCTTCAACTGGAAAAACTCCAGCGAGTTATATCACGCATTAAAATAATAACTTCATGGGGCTATGGAGGCTAAATGAGACTTGGAAATTGTGTTTCTGTGCATTAGAATAGCTATAATATAATTGTAAAATGACTGATGTTAGTGAACTGTCCAGGCATAATTATCCAAATGAATTAAAACCTGGGGGGGTCACATCTGGGGATGTAGTCCCGGATCCGATTAGTGTCAGGAATCTTTGGAATTAGAGATCCCGTCCCCCCGTGGTCACACTAGAATGCAATAGACTTCAGCACAGGCCCTTCTGGCTGCAACAGACAACAGCCTTTCAACACCTGAACCGCTAAATTGCTTTTGGAGACCTGGCCTCTTTAGTGAAGGAGAACCAGTGCTAGAACCTGTCTGTCATTCTGCTCTCGTCCAGCCCTGAAGATTTAGAAAAGAGCAACATGAAAAGAAGACGAAGAGGGAGAGGAAATGAGTGCAAAGCATCCTCTTGAGGGACCAAGTGACTCTGTGGACTGACTTAAAATAAATGCAAAAAAAAAAAAAAATCCCAATATGATAAATGGTGTGGCTTTAGCTCAGAGGTTGCTGGGTGAGCAGTGCCTTGGGGGACGTCTCTCAAAATGACACCGGTATTGAGTGGTCTAATTTAGCCCAGAAGCTGAGATTTTTTTTTTTTTTTTTTTTTTTGCAGTGCGAGAGACAGGAGTCCTCTGTGAACGCAAACAGACGGCTACTGCCTAGGTCGGACTTGACGTGCATGATTGCAGCTTCATATATATTTTTCCTCCTTTTTCCTTCAGCCTCAGGAATGTATTATTGGCATAGCCTGTTACCATGGCAACGCCTTCTCTTTACTTGACATTGTGGCAGCTACTGAGAGCTGATTTGTTGATGCTATTAATTAAAACTCAGCTGAACGAGAGCACTTTGTACAGCGAGATCCAACTGTAGGCGTTTATCATGTGTCTGGCATGATATGTGCGATTTCGGTGACTGATGTGTTGTTATATGCATCAATATTTGAAAATATCTTAATATATATATATATATATATAGAGAGAGAGAGAGAGAGAGAGAGATAGACTAAAATAGCCACCGAAGCATGATAGCACTAAGTTTTGATCCGTTTGAGTTAACATCACGCTTGTTGAACTGAAAAAAAAAAAAAAAAAAAATTGCATTTTACCCGCCAGTGTTTTTTTTTTTTTTTTTTTTTTTTAAGTTGACAGCCAACACCAGCATTTTTTATAATTTTTTATAACATTTTTCATGGCTCCCAGAATATTTTTTTGTATGCATATATGATTATGCAAAATTTTAAAAGAAAGATCAGACCCTATGCTTTTAAATAAAAGAAAATGCTTAATGCCTGAATGTGTGCTTCATAAAAAAATTAAATAAAATAAAAAAAAGCTACATTTTGAGTGAGAAAATTGCATTTTCTCATCTGGATGGGATTCAGAATGATGATCAAAACATAAATTGAGTAGATCTAGTCCATCAACACCCTAAAAACGTCACAGTCCTATAGCTTGTTCTGGGTCAACATTTCATGCAGTAACATTAGGCAGACATTAGGCATTTGATTTATAGGCTGTTTAAAGGAGCTGTATGCAAGAAATTTATATGATACATTTTCCCTGATATGTCACTAGACATAAAGAAATCATGTTCATTTCAAATACTTATATCACTGACAACAGTAGTCCAGCCAGGATATTGTCTTTTAAAAAGTAAAGTTGCAGCTCTCAACTGATATTGATGTTGTCATGTTGTGTTTTGTTCTGATGGTCCACCGATCTACCAATCACAAAATCAGTAGTGTTGCGGCATTCGGGTTGCCAGCTATTCTCTTGTTACCACAACTGCAGATACAAACGTGTCAGAATGGGCTTTATGCCCAGCTGCACTACTTCCTGAACTTCAGCCAGCTCCTTGTTTCCTGTCTGCCATTATTGGTCAAATTAATTAATTCAGGTGTACCTGACCTCAGTAGGCATGGCAACAATAATCAGACACACCTGAATTAATCAATTTGACCAATAATGGCAGACAGGAAACAAGGAGCTGGCTGAAGTTCAGGAAGTAGTGCAGCTAGGCATAAAGCCAATCGGATAAAAAAAAATGTGTAACATTGTGAAACCAAAAAAAAAAAAAAAAACTCGATATGAATCTGAAATACTTTGTGACAAAGTCCGAAATAAATAATTAACAGAAAAAAGAAAAAAAAAACTCACTGTGTAGGACTCGTCACTTGCAACTGGAAGCTTCCTGC